TTGTATATGGCGTTGCATATGTTTATTATAGGTATAGTTAGGATGTTTGGTTACTTTATTATTGTGAGTTGGCAACAAATGACGAAAGAACCAAAAGTGTGGGCTTATCACTCGATGTTTCCAGAAGAACTTATTGTTTATTAGAAGGAATAAATATTATAAAACTTATAAAACTCATATTGTTTTTCCCGACAACACAAATATCTCCTATATACCGATATGGCAAGTTTTCAACTACCTTATAAGTTATTCAGTATGTGGAACAAAGATAACACTTAATTGTTTGAATACGAGTGAGATACAATCCACGCATGTTGGAGTAGCGAGTCTAACTTTTAAACAGTGTTGCAAAATTTCTGTTACATTATCCCTTCTAAAATATTAGTCTGATACATGAGTGTAACATAATATTTAAATCCACTACAGTTCATTGTAGAATGAAAATTAATTTTGCCCTAACAAAACTTGTTGAAGTAATCATGTAGCTGTTATTTGTTAAACGATTATATCATTATTTGATTAATTAACAAAGAACAATGAATTAAGAAATTGATATGCGACAACAGCGTAAGCTACATAAATAACGCACTTCAGTAAACATACAGATAGTATAAACGGTGTACCCCCTCTACGAGTGCATGATTTCTCTTCAAAAGAATAGGCGGTGCTAATTTGTACAGCAGCATTATGGTCTTGGTCTATCTATTTGATTTTAAGCTGTGGTGGTACAAGGTTGAAAACAAATAATTAATATGTTGAGCGTACATTTTCAAGAAGAAAAGATTCAAATTATGAAATGGTATTAAGGGAACCATTCTATTGTAGAAATAATACAGTTATTTGTTGCTGCTTTTGAAAATTCCGAAAGAGAAAGCAGTACGATCAACTATTAAAAACTTTTAAAATTTCGGTTGCATAATTACCTGTATGAAATGTCGTCCAACGGATCAACCACAATCGAAACAAATCTCTGTTGAACGCGAAAATCGCGAAATGCAAGTTTGTTTAACTGCTGAAGAAACGCTTTCTTCGTGTAGCCAAATTGCGGACTAAGTTGACCTAAAGGAGAGAACTGTAAGCAATATTTTAAAACGAAATGGATACAATTACTATATAGTGCAAACCGCCCAAGAACTTTTTCCAGACGATCATTTTAAACATATGGAATGTTGTGAAACTGATGGAGAAATTGAATGTGAACAAAAACTTTTAAAAAAATATTTTGCTTTCCGATGAATCTTCATTCACAATCCATAAATGTCATAATCCATCTGTCGTCCGCTATTGGTCTATAGTGTATTTTTATGTATGAGAGAGTAATAAAACAATAAATTATGTATGCAAATCCCTAAACTGTTGATACGGGTGACTCGATGAAAAACAGATATTTGTCAATAAGTTTACAGAAGTATATAGGAAAACAATTTTAAATTGAGTATGACCACCAGGTATAAAGGTTGGAGCAGAATAGAATACAATAGTTGTGAGGGTTACTAATCCCTAAATAAGGTTGCCAGTGTCGGAGTGATGGAGGTTAACAGGTACTAATGAATTTGCAAGAAATGTAAAATGTTTATTTTATTGGTTATATATAACCAATAAAAGTTTAATAAGTACCTACCTATTTGCAAAATAAAGTTTAATTCTTTAGATAAAATAAAACGTTTTATTTTATCTGAAATGAGTGCATTCCACGAAGTAAGGGTTTCAACAATCAAACATTTAATTCTTTAATTCCAGGAATCTACGACAGTAATTGACTAGATAATTACCTTCTAAACTTATTCCACAGAAAATGTGATAGTGGGTTTTTCCATTTTGTAGGAAGGTCCAAGTGGCGTATTCAAAATTCTTAACAGTTCACTAAAAGTAGGTACTTCAGTTGCAAGGTGCAGTTTATTGTGTATACTAGTGTTATGGAAAATTTGGAAGTGCCGTGTAAACGCCGAAAAATTGGTCCTTTAACAGTTAATAAAAAAACATTAATATTTAATTGTTTTAAATCATTTACAGACAAACGTTTATGTAAAAGTGTTGATGAGACCGTTGAGTTAGTTAGCAGTACACTTGGTGTTGGGAAATCTACGATTTACAGAGTTATTAAAGAAGAGAAATGTGGTAGTTTTCAAATGCCACGTAATGCTCCAGGGAAACCAAAATTTCAAATAGAATATCATTTTAAAGAAGGACTTCGACGGAAAGTGCATGCATTCTTCTTTAGACAAGAATTTCCAACATTGGATAAAGTTCTTGTCTCAGTTCGAGATGATAAGGATTACCCAGAAATGAGTCGAAGTACGTTATGGAAACTTTTAAAAGAAATCGGCTTCCGCTGGAAAAAGAATCCCAGAAAGTCTATTTTATTAGAAAGAAGCGATATTGTCATATGGAGAAGACATTTTCTAAGAACCATAAAGGAAATGAGAAACCAAAAAAGAAAAATATTTTATCTTGATGAAACATGGATCAACGAGGGTCATACACCAAATAAATTTTGGCAGGATGAAACTGTTACAAGTCAAAGGCACGCTTTTGTAAATAACTTATCTACTGGTTTAAACCCACCATCAGGAAAGGGACGCAGGCTGATAATAGTACACACTGGCAGTTCAGACGGTTTTGTTGAAGGTGGTTTATTAACTTTTGAATCAACTCGTACCGGTGACTACCATGAAGACATGAACGCTGATGTCTTTCAAGAATGGTTCGAACAAATGATAGATCTTCTTCCTAAGAACTGTGTAATAGTAATGGATAATGCAAGTTATCACTCCAGACTTATAGAAGGACTGCCCACAACCAAGTGGTTAAAAAAAGACTTGCAGAATTGGCTGAGTTCAAAAAATATTACGTACCATCCCGGATCTATAAGAAAGGAACTTTATTCGTTGTGTGCCCTTCATAAAGAAAAATTTAAAAAATACGAAATTGATGAAATTGCCAAAAATCGTGGAATGACAGTACTTAGATCCCCACCATATCATTGTGAATTAAACCCGATTGAACTGGTATGGGCACAGATAAAGAGTGAAGTTTGAAGAAAAAATACCACTTTTAAAATTCATGATGTTAAACAGTTGTTTTTGGAGGCTGTAAATAATGTAAAACCTGAAAACTGGGAAAAGGCAGTAAATCACACTATTAAAGAAGAGGAAAAAATGTGGAAGCTGGACAATATTACTGATAAAATGATCGAGCCAGTTATTATAAATCTTGGTTCTGAAAGTTCATCTTCTGAATCTGATTTGGATTTGTAACAAGTAGCTGTAAGTTTTATATTAATATTTTTATTCATCTATTTAACATACCTTAAACGGTTTTAAAAATTCTTTTTCTCTTTTGTAATTTTTAAAAATTAAAAAAAATGTGAATTTTTTAAAACCCTTTTTAATGTAGGCCAGTCAGTTCTAATATAGTGTGTGATAAAAGAGGTCACTTTTGTTTACATACACATAACACTTTATAATACTGAAATAATTCATTTATTTTTTACAATTATTCAAAGTAATTTTTCAATTAATCTTGAGCACGCCCATGGAGTGGTCGGAGATACCAGTTAAAATTATGCTAATTACTCTCTCGTTCATAAAAATAAACTATAGGCGAAATAAACATTTGAGTATTGCTATGAAAACACAATACCCAAATAAATTAAATGTGTGGACTGGAATTTATATCGATAATATAATTGGTCTATTTTTTATTACAGGAAATCTGAAGGGACGTAAGTATCTAGATGTATTACGCAATCAGATTATTCCGAGCAGTTTGAAACCTTGCGGTCAACTTCGATGATGTCTGGTTTCAACAGGATGGTTGCCCAGTACATAATGCAATAGAAATTACAAATTATTTGGAACAAACATTCCCCGGATGATTCATTTCTACACGAAGAACAATACAATCGCCCCTAGACCACCAGATTTAGCACCTTTGGATTTTTATTTCTGGGGAATGCTAAAATCAAAATTATATCGGCATTAATTCGAACGAGTCACCAATTTAGCAGAATTGCAAGAAAAAATTATTCAACTCTGTAGTCGGGTACAGTCAAATCAACTGAGTACAATGAGACTTGCTTTAGTTGATAGCTTCGAATTTTGTTTAGTACAAAATGGTGGTTTATTAGAACATTTAATTGGATGGAGATTTTTTAAAAAATGCCTTTAATTTTAATTTAATTATTTAGAACAATTTTTTTTAGTTGGTTTTATTCTTATAAAAATAGTATTTATGTTTTGTTAATGTTAAGTTAATGATTGTTTTATTTCGAAGCTACCACAGCTAATAATCTACAAGAATTGCATTTAAAACTCGAATATAAGTGTTCGAGTTTTTCTAAAGTTTGCCGACGGAAAGTTATCGACGAAATAAATTTATGCAAAGAAATACACAGTTCTCGTCAGTGTGTGATAATTACTGAATGTCGGATGTATCTTGGCGCTTCGCACTGTGAAGGAAGACGTTTAAAATTTTACTACTCGTCAGGGGAATAATGCGTTGTTGCCACACATCAATTCCTTAAATCAATGTTCTTTGTTAACTAATGAAGTAATTGATAAAATCGATTAGAAAATAAGAATTACATGGTTACTTTATTTAAGTTTTTTTGGGAAAATATTAATTTCCATTCTACAATGAACTGACTAAATGACTAAAATCTTAGAAAGAAAAACGAACTGTTTAAAAGTTATACCTACTCCTTAGAGATGGTGACTGCCTCTCACTTCTATGCAAACAATTAATTGTGATCTTTGTTACACATACTGAATACTAACGTATACAGTACTTGATAAATGGAATTTTTTATGCAGGGCTGTAAAAAACATTACAATGGGCAAACAAACAAGGTAATGGGATTTAATTCTTCCTACTTTTTATTGTCATCAACAAACTTAAATATATTGAATCAGTTTACTTTACTGTAAAAGTAATTCCATGACCTCCCCAAATTATGATTTTTTTCAATGGCTCTACAGTATAATAAAAGATTTACTAACCTTTGGTGTAACTTTTTACTGTCCGTTGTCTTTGCCAGTTCATTGTCAGTGTATTTTGGAAGTAGATTCCAATCTGGAATATCAGTAAAACAATATTTTATTACTAGGTATACTTTATTTTGATGAAAATTTTAAATTAAAATACTACATATTTTACACAATCTTAAGACTTCTATAAAAATAGACTTAAACAAGGATGTTGTCATAGTAGGGTTTTATATTGTGTGTAGGATTATTAAAATATTCAATAGTTTTAAATGTTTATTAACATATTCTTATAAGTTTGACAAGTAGGTATGAACTATTAATATTATATGTTACTAGATCTCCCTTCTTAAGGAACTTACTTCATTTCTCATTAATTTTTAGTCTCTCTTAACTTTGATAAAGCAATAATTAGCATGATACTATGATAAGAAGATAAGATATTGCGCATAAGTCGTGACGTCATTGGAGAGTTGCGCGTTCGAAATGTCAGTTTTTTGTATGTGTCAATAAATAATCTTTAATAAATAGTTTTTAGATATTCTTATGTCTACGATTATTGTAATTACTAAACCTCTTAACTTATTTTCGTCTAGTAATTTCATCAGAGAGTGCATCTTCTTCTTATAGTTCCATGACCGTTATCGACCGTTGGATATCATGTTGGCTACCATATTCGCTATCGTGACTTTATTGACAGCAGCTCTAAATAACGATGTAGTTGATTTTCCATACCATTGCCTTAGATTTTTCAGCCATGATGTTCTTCTTCTACCAGGACCACAATAACCTTGGATCTTTCCCTGAATGATCAGATGTAAAAGATCATATTTTCAGGGTGTCTCATAATATGACCGAAGTATTCCAGCTTGCGTTTCTTTATTATATTGACAGGTTGTGTTGTTTGGTTCAGCCGTCTAAGGACCTCCTCATTTCTAAATCTGTCGACCCAGCTTATTTGTCTGTATACCCACATCTCAAAGGCTGTCAAGCGTTTAAGCATAGCCTCAGTTAGGGTCCAGAGAATGCATACAAATCCCATTTAACTTTAACAAGAATTCAAATTCTACTATCCAATAACGGCATGCGCGAACACGACCTATTTTGTGCTACGGGAAGATCCTATCTTGTTATTATAGTATCATGATAATTAGCTATATAGTATATCTTGTTAAACTTCTAACATTGTCTTAGTTGTAGGTGTACAATTTATTAATATATTGTAATTTTGTTATTAGGCTTTTTGTTCTTTCCCCGCCCGTTTTAGGTAGAGACAAGAAGAGAACTCACTTTTCGCTTTGTGTATTTCTCCGCCTTCTAACGTAAGCCAATAAACTCTAACTCTTTACAGGGCCAACAACTGGAAGACCTTTCATCCCCTTATCCAAATATTTCCCTACCCTCTAGTAAAGCGGCGAGGGCTGAATCACGTCCGTTCGGACTAGTTTAGACCAGTAAGCCTTGTCACCGCTCGCTAGATAAGCATCCATCACATATAAGCGATCCTAAGATCCAAATATAATGACAGATCTTCGATTTATTTATCATTCTCAATCAGCCGATGTTACAGAGGTGACAGGATGATACACCTAACATTGATTGAAGCTCTTTTTTATTTTTAGGCTCATTTAAGTTTACAATTGATTTTGTACGCTTTTCTGTGGGTACCACACATTTTTCACCAAATTTATGACCTAAAAACTCTATATTAACCCATCAAAGACTGGTAACGAAAAACACTGTTTAAAATATTAATTCTTATGTGAAAATGTGAGACCGAAAAACGGAGATAGCGCTACCAGTTAGTATGTTAACGTTGTTAAGTTGGTTGTCTAATTTAGTTGATACAAATTTTATTAAACATTGATTTCAACTGAACTTCAAGCGTTGTTTCTGAGAGAATGGTTTATTCTACACAAAAAGTGATAATAAACAATGTTGTTATCTCAGCTACATTTTTTATATAAAACATTTTTTCTATGATGCACAGATTTTTGGCGTTTTTAGTCCCATACAATGGGGATTTTAGGATGAAGCCAGGGGGTAAAAATGGTAAACTTTTTTGCATCTTTTTTGGGGTCCCAAAATTAATATTCTCGGCAAAATTCAGCTTGTTCATATGATTTGAAGGGGTCAACTCAAGAAAGACAAATTTTCACTTGCAAAATAACAAAACAAATGAATAAAACAGCAAAAGATATTGCCTGCTTAGAAGTTCAACATATCGACAATATGTGGGTGCCACAATGAAAATATGTGGGATCCTAGCATATATGGGTTAAATTGGTTTTTCGTGCAATGAACATAACCTTTTCAACTAAATTATATGTTTGTGCATCACAGTGTTGCCATATTTTTTTGAATAAAGTATACAAGATTTTAAAATTAATAATATAATTAATAATATAAGAAATTATAATGATTTGTTAAGAGAAGCCACAATTTTTGAATTCATATTAAAAAGCATTCATAAAATAATATTTTTTACTATAAGGCCTGATTGTTCGAATGCGAATCAAGAAGTGATTATAATCAAGTTCTCTTAACAACCATCAAATAATAGAATTCGTTGTTCCTACACCAATCAGTTTATTGTAATAAATTTTCTTGATGGAAATCAAATCGGGACATCAAATATGTGTAAAACACTAATCATTCATTGTGGTTCGTTATAAACGTCAATCAAGGACTTGATTGTCATCAAAACGGATTTTGATTGATAATTACTTAATTGTAGGTAAAGCAGTAATTAAAATATAGCTGCAGTCGTCAAATCATTAAAAATTGCTTATTATTATTATTGATTTGTAACTAAAACCAAAAAATGAATTTACAAAGAGTTTAATTATGGTTTATTTTAGATTAAAACTCAAAACTTATAAAATGTCGATGTCTGTTACTATATCCAGCTCCTCTGATGATGACTCTGTTGTTGATGATGTCCTCGTTGTAAAAAGACCAGAATCTTTTGAGATAGAAGCGACCCATTCGAAAGATACGATTGCGTATATTTTAGAGAATGATTTAGATCTTCTTACCCATCACAACAGAGAATTAAGTGCCAGAGAACAACTTCTCATTTGTTTAATATTCTATGCGACAGGGGCATTTCAATACTTGATTGGAAACTATGCAGTAGTACATAAATGCACTGTGTGCCTACAAGGGGGCAAAGCAGACACTACGAAAAGGTTAACTTCTTAAAAATGCCCATGCTGGAGGCAATACCAACAGTACAAATTTTTTTTGAAATTCGACAATTTCCATGTGTAAACGGTGTTTTTTTTCTCTGGTTATTGTTGCATGTGCAATTTTACACAATTTGGAGATTGTTTATAACAGTCGCTGACCAGATGACCTTGAATTTGATGATGACGACGAACATATAGTTATCGATAGCCTGGAAGGAAATTTTGCGATGAGAAAACATCTTGTAATACTGTTTTTTCTGAAGGAGTTTAAAACAAAGTTTTTACTTATTAATATTAATATTACAATTTATATATTGGATAGGATAATGTTAAATTAATTAGGAAACTTAAATTTCTCCAATTCCAGTTCTGCTTTTCTAATTTGTAAGTTTTTTAATTTTAGTTCTTTTTGAAAAAGTCTTTGTTTTTGTCGAATTTCCAAATTTACTAAATATAACTTTTTTTCATATTTCGTATTGTATTGAGGTATGGTAAGTTTCCTTTTGCGTCGGTTTTTTAAAGTGAAGGAGGAAGAATTTTGGGGTTCTCTATTATTAACATTTCCTGAAACAAAGTTTACTTCAGAATCAAATTGATTTCTTAAGAATATGAATATTACTGAAAAGTCTTCTGAGGGGCCTAATTTCAAAGTAGGTATATAATCTCTACTTTAAACAATTTGAAAAAAAGAGCGATATAGTAATTTTAAACTTCCATTAGTCGTTTTTTTTGTCGAAATTCTTTAGGTAGAATTTTAACAGAAAATTTGTATTCTATAGCAAAATCGCAAAACTGCGCTGCTGCAGATAAGATAAAGATTGCCATGATGATTGCCAACATTTTTAATGGATAGGTACATCAAGAAGAGAAGAATATAAACAACAAAATTCCAGAAAACTTTGAAGAGCTGCATCTCTTTTTTGACCAATGTCCAGGTCAGAATCGCATTAATACTGTTATTCCATATCCTCTGGCTCTAGTAATGACCAAGAAGTTCAAAAAATTACTATTTACTTTCCACAACAAGGCCACTCATTTAATGATTGTGACAAGAGTTTTTGGTACTGTTAAAAGAAAAATTCGTTGCTACAACAGGATTTTCTCTGTAGATGAATATGAAGATTTAATTGTGTCTTCATCTAGTCATAATAAATTTGATATTAGACATATTACTTACATAAATGTAGCTGCTTTTAAAAAATGGTGGCTAGATTAAACAAAAAATCCACAGGAAGCTTTAGCAAAGAAGTTAAAAAAAAAACAAAAAGGTTAGTTTCAGTATTAACTCTTATTATGAATTTGGCTTTTCCTCAGATAATTTGGATATAACCACAGCCATCTTTACTTCCAAGCCATGAAGTAGAAATTTGGCAACAACGCGTGGTAGTCCGACTGTGGTTTGTTTTGTTTAATATTTCATAAAGGAAGGCTTGTAAAGTTTGTTGAATTTAGTGTTTTTTTTTAACTTTATTCGAATGTTTTATTTGTAAATTGTGTTTAAATCAATTAGAAAATATTAATATAAGTGGAATTTCATTAAATTTAGAACTTTTAGAAGATTCGTAAAATAGTTTTCGAAACACAATTTAGATTTCTGCTTTATAATCTGAGCCTTCTAAGAATTGCAAGGCAAACAGACGTTGATAAAAGATGTTAACAGAGACATGGGGAATCTAAAATTTGCATTCCACGACATGTCTTTTACAACTAAGCAGAAATCCTTAGCGAATTGTGTTTCTTGTACTCCCACAGAGTAAATCCGAATAAAATGAGAAAAGGCAGCAAATATTTGATTTCACGCAAACAAATCCCATGTATCTCTTGATACGTATTTCGACCTAATAGGTCTCGTCAGAAGAGCTATTTATGAGGTTTCTCAACGTGAAAAATCAATATT